GAAACAGTTTTCTGCCGGAGCCAAAGCGTGCTGCAGGCCCGATCCTAGCAAAACTTAAGGTAACTGCCCTGAAATCAGTGGTGGGAACGCAGTTTCGTTTGTGTGACTCTAGAACTTGGGCAAACTGCACTGGATGGTGGCAGGACTCGAAGCCCTACAGTGGGTTTTGCAGGATACACACCCCCACAAACATGTATTTTTAAAATTTCAGCATAGAAAAAAATGGGTGTAAAAGGCTCCCCAAGAGATGACTGGTCTCTGTTGTCTATAACCTTAGTCATTTAAGCACAGATCTGTATAAATCATTGTTTGTGTGTCAGTTACGTTAATGTTTAAATCTGAACTGTGAAATTGCTAGTATTTAGCTCTTAATACATAAAGGTAAGCCAGAAATCCAAGAATGGTCTCTGATGTACAGAGGATCAAAAAAAGATTTTAAAATATGTTTCAAGATACATCTAGACCTAATTCCTTGAAGGACTTTATGGACTTGTAATTTTAGAAGACTGCTAACATGATTTGTACGTACACATACATTTGATTGGAAATTATGGTCTGTCGTCATAAGCAAGTGAGATGGTGTAAATGACACTGCAACCCACAAGAAACTTGAGCTTTGTTCAAATTGAGCCAAAGAAAGTTGGGCTCCATGCTTATGTTAGCAAAACTTTTTAAGATTATCTGCCCAAATCTGGACTCAGCTCTTCAAAAGCTTTGTTCCCGTGCATGCACAAATACCCTACTGCCTTAATAACTGTGGTTGTATGTATGCTCTGCCCTGATTACATACACAGTTTTTCTGACAACAAAGCACTTGTACCCAGTGCAATTTATCCATTATTGACCAAGAAAAATAAACCATTTGATATAACTGTGTCCATGCTCAGTAGATGGTTTGTGCTGCCTGTGCTCAGAATGATTTTGAGGTCCTGTAGTAAGAAATTTGACAAATGATGTTTCTTACGTTGCAGCCATTCCCTTGAATAAAATATATGTGAGAACAGGAGATTTTTTTCCTGTATAATTGTGTTTGCAGTCAAGTTTTTGACAGCAAAGGTATCTCAATTGTAAGTGTCATTCTTTTTGAAGGGGTAGAGCAAACTGACAAGTCACAGCTGTATAACTCTAATGAATGTATCACAGCTGCCATAGTTATATCAATCTAACTGAACATCTCACTGAAAAGGTCATTCTTATTCTTTAACTAAGGAATCACAATAGATGTTCACATACCCTAAAAAAGACCAAGCCATAGGAGACAATGTCAGTGATTAAAAAAAAAAACAAAACAAACAAACAAACAACAAAACACACATATATCAGGTTCTCTGCATTTACTAGTAAAGATTTTAAAAGACAGATGCCTTGTTTGTTTTACATCCTTCTAATACAATATTTGGACTAAGGATGTACATTAACTGTTGGTGAACAATCTGTAAGAATTCTAAAAGTGCATGATCTAAGCATGTGATCTTCATAGAAGGTGCACTTGGGAGGTAATATGATTATTCCTTCTAAGTACTCAGACTAATAGTCATACCGTAGTTCATATTCTTATTTTGCAGTTCATTGCTTTAACCTAAGAAGATGAATCATGGGATTAAGAACGTGATTTAGTGAAACTTAGAGTGATAAAAAAGAAAGAGGAAGAATGTTGCAACATTTTCAGTTGTGCAATGTCTTAAAATGAACTATAAAAATTAAGTAGAGCTTGTATGGGGAAATTCCAGTTACATGAAGGAGAAAAATATTGACAATTTTTTGTTCAACATTTCTGTAATTCTTATTTACATTCCTCAAGTACCCTGTGTATGCCCTGAGGTAACTTAATTTTATTTTTTACCATGTAACAGCTGTCACAGTGAGAGAAAGCCCACATCTAAATTCGTCATTGAAACTGTGCTGATGTCTCATCAAGTAAACCATATAAATACATTTCTGAGTAGACAAAAATGAATATGATTTTGTATTTTCAAGCAGCTGAGGCCTAAAAGATAATTAGGCTCTGCCCAAATTAGTTCTCTTGTTCATACCACTCAAAATCTAAGTTAATTTGGATATGCTGGGGTGGCTGTTTGATGGTTTAAATTCTCAGTGAAAGAGTAAAGAGAATTTTCCGTAAGGTGTTTGCTGCCAGTTGGTACCTCTGGATCAATCAGATCCCTGCAGACAGAATATAATCTTCCTACTTTAAAAATTTGGGACTTCTGTTTGGAGAGAAATAGTTTATGATGGCTATGAAGAAAATTTGATGATGATGAGTCTTCTGGTCCTAAAATATTTATTCCTGTCTCCTCTACCTTCTTGTCTTTCCACTCTTCAGAAAGCTGTTTGACTGTTTGTATAATTCTACTGCATGAGACGGTGACACAAATGCTGTCATTCTCATACAGGGTTCCTCGTCTTTTCCATGGTGGTTCTGCTCACCCGTGCCTCATTGCAAATAAGTGAGCACATGTTTTTGTTTCCTATGTGCCATTTGCTTTTTTTCTTTTTCTTGAAAGAAAGTAACTTTTTTTTTTTTTTTTTCCAAAAGCAGCAGACCAGAAGTAGAACAAAAATGTACTTAAGTCTTCATTTAGCTTCAGGGATTTTTTAGTGGAAAATGCAGTATTAAAAAGATTGTGTCCTTAGAAGTCCAGTGCAGCACTTTGTAAATACACTGTACATATAATATAACATTCTTGGTATGAAATTTCTTGAAAGCATATGTCTGAGATTACTGAGTTTAAAAATCAACAACGGAACAATTCACCTATAAATCTTTAGTTTGAGAAAAGCTTTAATTAAAAAACTAATGGAGTTCAGTGGAATTTCAGGTTATTTGGATTGCTCTTATGATGTGAAGTGTTCCAAGAACTTCAAATGGCTTTCTTAGCATGTGCCGATTCCATTCTCTTCTTACCTAAAGTCCTTCAAAAGCTTTGAAGTGATCACAGTCCTGTACTAAGCACAGACCAGTTTCTGATTTACAAAAGTCCTTTAAGATTGTCACAAGTGTCCCACTTTTTAAATTAAGTCCTTTGTTGTATTTATGAAAACACTCCAGAAAGATGAGGAAAAGATGAAAAGTTCAAGGTTTAAAAAAAGGGGCTAAATGAAGCATGGATTAAGATGATTTCAGAAATGTCAAACAAAAAAATGAGAGTTACTGTACTGTTTTCGTCAATTCCACTATCAAAGAGAAACAAGACTAACACAGAGTACAAGCTGGAGCAAGTCTTCAGAAAGCATTACAACAAGAAAAAACAGATGAATAGGGATTCTAAATGCCTGAGAAGTTGTAAAAACTTGTCTAAAAGCCTTGTCCAAGCTTTTGTCTGAGAATTTGGAACTAATATAGTCAAAAGAAATACAAGATTTTTCTGTATTTTTTGCATCAGCTTTTCATAGAAAAGGTTTCTCTCTTCACTTTAAGCTTCCTCTCGTTCTTAATAAATCATCTTAGCAACTGATTACACAAGTGCCTCTGTAACATTGAAAGGGATTGACAGAATATAATTTGTAAAAAATTGAATCTTTTTATCTGCTCTATGCATCTGTCTTGGAGCTAACAAAATTGTCAAAATCTTTCTTTAAGAATGATTGATTATATAGAGAGTGCTTTCTCTCTTGGGTGTAAAGAGCACAGGCATTCGTACTGTGCACCCATCATTTTGGCCGCACTCAGTGATAGGTTCAGAAGTTTAGCATGGAAAACTAACCCAGCTTCACTGTTGGAATGAAGACTATTCATCTTTTCGAAACACATAAAAAAATCTCTAGCTGGTACCTTCTTGTCCCGTCACACACCTAAAAGAAAGGTTTGTTCTCAGAATCTTTGCTCAGTTTCCACTGAACTTAAGCATTAGCTGAAATCAGTGTGTGTTTACATTTCTGGCAGTAGAGTTCCTTGGGTGCCTCTGTTTACACACACTGTTGTGCCTGTTGGTACTGGTAAGTAACTGAAAACTCAGCTCACACCCAAATTATGTAAAAATTTATGAACTACATGTTTTCCATTGGCTTGACCAACAGAGCCCGATCAAATAGATATCCTTGACTGGTTGTACATTATGCAAGAAAAAATAGCATACAGAGGTGATGGCATTACAGTATTCTTCAACAGAGCACTCACCTTGTATAAAAGAGGGATAGCTTGAGGGGGGACTTGAACTTGGACTCCACATATTCCCAGGAGTATGTTCTTCCTGCAAGGAAAGGGCATTCTCTGGTGTGTGGGGTGTTTTGCACGTGTGTAAGGACAAGAGGGAAAATGATTCTATGATGAAAGTCTTCAATTTTCTACATAACATATATTTTGTATGTATGATGTTTTTATATGTAGGTAAGCATGTATGTATATGCATAAATTGTGCAGATATTCTCGTATTCATGGTCCATCTGTCTGGCCCAATGAACTTCTAATTATCCCCTATGAGGGTGAATTGTTTCAGCAGAAGAGATTTACAGCGCCTTGGGCCTAGAGTACCCTTAAGCTGTATCTACATTAGAAAATTAAATGATGCCTAGGAACTCTCCCAGGCATTGGAAGGCAATTGCTCTCCTGGGGTAAAGTCCTGTCAAACAAATGAGGAAATTAAGCCAAATTCTCTCACATCTTGGGATCCTGACATTAGATGTGTTTTACTCTGTCACAGTGTTAGTTTAGCAGATAAAACATATGTAATTTCTAAAATGTCATTTATGTAATCATTTATGTAATTAATGAGCAAAGTATCTCTGTCACATCTCTGCATATTGGATACAGAAAAGGAAGAATACAATTCAAATATTATGCTCTAAAAATATTTTTTTTCCTAGAAAGAAAGATTCAGTACTTACTACAAATGGAACTTAAGTGTGTAGCGGGCAATATTCCAATTTATATATTTAAATGTCTTATGCACATAGCAGCAGTTCACAGAAGTTATATTTTTTTCTCTTGGGGTTTCATGCGTGCAGCTCATTTATGTTTCACAGACCTCAGTTAACTTTTAATTTCTTCTCTCTCTTCCTGCTTTAGTGACACTGGAACTAAACCTCCTGAGAGTGGTGTCTTTGGTTTTATGATTAATATCTCAGCACTTTTAGGTATGTAATAAAGTATTTGGTTTAAACACAGCAAGGAAATGAAAACTAGCAAAAGCTGTCTGTTTACATTGCAGTTCATACAGTGTTCTGCAGAAAACATACTCCACAGTCAAATAGTATCAGATAGATGGAAGTAATATCTAGAGGGCCAGGTCCTTAGGGTCAGTAAGTGCAGGCTTAGCACTTCTGTCTCTTAAGAGCACCTCATCAGTGCAAAGTAGTCAATGCAGCTGGAAATAAAAAGTGCAAGAAAGATGGCATAATCACTTTGGAATAAGTGTGTCTTTGACGTAGGGAGACATTAGGTTCTAGGATACTGTGCAAAGGGAAGAACAATGTTGAAGCAACACCTGGTTTCTTCTGCAAGATGCCTGCTCCTCCACTAAATGTCTCCTGGCCTTGAATCAGGAGGTTTGGCACTTTCTGTTCACTTCTAGGGGATGGAAGATCAGTAGCTGTGTACCTCTGTATGCATGTAGTCCACGATGGCCTTTCTAAGAGCCTCATTCAGTCACACTGTCTTGGCATGCTTCATGTAACCTCATAGTTACAAAAGACAAAGTTAGCTGATTTATTTTTCCAACTGTAGACAGGCTGAAATTATCTTTTGTGTTACTGAACTGTGGAATCCACTCTACCGTTTATTTATTATATCCTGATGAACCACAATCTTCTAATTCAGTAGAGGTGTTTGTCAGGAGTGAACAGCATATTGGGACCACACAGGCTGAAATAAGATCTGTGTGTAGTGGTTTGGGGATGCTGTTGTACTAAAGAGCAGGCAGAATTGTCCCAAAAGCTTTGAAAATATTTTCTGGATACACAGCTAGTTATATTTTTTTTTTCTGTATACACTCTACAAAAATGTATTAATTTTCTTCAGGGCATCCATTATAAGGAAATGTAGTTCTGGTACAAGACTGTATAAGAGCAGAATACATTCTTCCACTTCCAGTTTATGGTTCATCTCCCAGTAACAGCTATTCCTAATGTGGAATGGCAATGCCTCTGTGCCTAAACCGCACATAAGAATGGGATTTACGTTAGTGCTTTTCTTGAAGTAATGTGCAGCTATTTCTAGATAGTATTAATGTGTGATGTTAAGACAGTTCTATCTGAAAGTAATACACCTGAAATTCACTACCTTTCTTCTTCATCCCAGTAGAGTTAAAGGCAGAATTATTTATGGTATTATGCTTATCATTTTAGTCCATATGCTAATGTGTTAGAGGACAAAGTGTTAAAATGTAAGCAACACAAGATAATTAAGCAAAATATGGGTTTTTTTGTTGTTTTTCAGGTGTAATTACAATGTACATCAGATATTTATTAATAGAGAAGCAAAATGAGTCATCATACTTTATTGGGTCTTCGTGCAACATGTTTTCGTTATGTGTTGGATTGATGGGCTGTATTGGAATGGGCATAGTTGCAAATTTTCAGGTATGACTGTAAATTTCTTATCACAAATTAAACTAAAATTGTTTGACCACTTAAAAAATCAAATAGATCAGAGTGGTTAACATATCCCAGTGTGGGTACTTGGCAAATGGAATAAGAATACCTTTTTTAGTAGCTTTAAAAAGACAGATTTGCTTTCTCAATATATACTAGATGTTTTTGCTTGTACACTTATGTCAGTAGGGGGCTTTGTGTCTGCTTGTCTGGTAACATGTCTGCACTAGAAAACAACTTGATATTGATGCTTTTGCTGTAAATTTTTTACTATGAAAATTTTACTGTGAAAAAGCTTTGCTATTCGCAGTTTAGTTTGCTTACAGTCAGGTAGGGCAGGACAAGTCAGACTAGCAAAAGCACCTGTATTTTTACCTGAATGATGGCACACACATGAGCAGCATTTTCTACGAATAAACTAGATTTAGCTGACAGATTTTAACATTGAGCACAATATTAGCCCATTGTTTTGAGTCTCGTTAACTCTTTAGTTGAGTTAACAACGTTAACTCTTTTGATAGGGACTTAGTAGAATTGCCACTTATCCAGAAAGGATAAGACATCTCATAAATCAAAGAAGTCCAGCCCTCTGTGTCTGAAAGAGAGTTCAATAGAGAGGATAAATATTGAAACAGATGATAATTATTGAAACAGATGAGGAAGCATGTGACAGGGTAGATTCTGACACAAAGAAGTATTAGGACAATTGCACTGAAAACTTCATCTAATAATCAAGTCAAGTTTAACTGGCAGATAATTTGAGATATTGCCTTCAAATCTGTGTATTTATTTTAAGATGATTTTTTTCTTTTAAAGGATGATCTATCTTGGGAACATTTTGGTAAATATTGTTGTGCTCATATAATGACCTGACAATATACAGAGAAATTGAAAATAAGGATTGCTAGGGCTTCAGCAGCCAATACAATGTTGCATGTAATTGACATGGTATTTTCAGACAAAATCTCTGCCTTAGACTGATATCTTGCTCTTTAGTTTTACCTCCAGGAAGTGCATGTGGATAGCAAACGCTACAGGCTCTGCAGTCTATTCTAAGCATGCTATTCTACTTTTAAATTTCTGTACTCTTATTTTTAGATTTATATGTGGTACAAAAAAAATAGATTAGAGGGAACAGTATTGCTTGACTGAAATAGGAAACAAATTCAGCTTCAAGAAGGAAAAGATAAATCAGGAATGGGAGAGTTAGGGAAGCAGAAACTTTGATCCTAAATTTTCCAAAGGGGCCCCTTGACAGTTATAACATTGGTTCTTATCTAATCTCTACTGTCTCTCATTGCCTACTCATAAACTCCTTCCTCACCTAATTTCTCTTTCCTCTACTTTGACCTTACTTTCCATGTTAGGCGCAGTTTGTAGGAAGAGTTCAGAACACAGGAAGGATCTAATCTGGCTAAGGATCTGCTCTTGCAGATTATTGTGCATGCTTAATTGCCCAGGAAGATGGAAATGGTGGCTTGCAAATCTTTGGTCCTTTACTTGTATAGTGTACAACTAATGAACAGTACACTCTTATCCCCGTTTACCAGTAGAATAACTGAGATGTGAAGAGGCTGTGAGATTTGCTCCAGGTCAGGTGATTGCTTCAGGTCAGGAGACCAAAGCAAAGCTGGAATTAGAAGTTATTTCTTTCGCGTTCAGTCTAGTCCCTCTAAGCAGTGCGTCATGCAGAAAATTCACATTCTTGTGCACTCTCTGTTTGTTTCTTAACAGTTATTTTTCCCCAGCAGGTGAGCTAACACCAAACCTGAGTACTGTAGTAAAGATGATTGACACTGCTGAGCATCAGTTCATTTTCTTTTTCTGAGAAGCAAAGTATCTGTTTTGTTAAAAAGGCTTCAGTGGGAAATTATACTTGAAATATTTAAGGTTTTTTTTTATTTACTCAAATCTAGTGTCACTTGTGGTGAGTCTTTTAAGTAGCATGATTAGCTGTGAGGAAAATTTTTTCACCCTTTTTGCTTCAAGGTAAGACATGGTGGGTAGCATGGAGTGTTAATGATATTGGTCTCTGAACACTTCAGAAAAGTGAGAAAAAAGGTTTGAGAAAACACTAGGAGTGTGTCCTCTAAAAGCAAAACATTTTTCTGAGAAAATAAATACTGGTCATGAATAAGATGTTTGTTCTCTGTTTTAAATAACACAATGCTTGAAATACAGAAATGAAAGACAGTGGAGGGTTAGCTTCAAGAAGATAATTGGATATGGAAGGAAAAATCCCGTAGCCCTTAATGGATAAGGCAAAGCCAAAACCCAGGTCTTAGCAGGCCTGGTTTTGCCTGTTAGATGTTACACATGATTAAGAGAGATCTTTCTGTCTTTGACTAGAAAGCTTAGGAGGCTTTCCATAGCAGATGTAGCAACATTTCTCAGGTCATGTAGGGGCTGAGTGTGATGGGCTTTTTAGGGAAGTTGTGTCAGTTTAATAGGGGCAATCATGAACACCATGTTAGAAAAGCTCTGTATATTGTGTAACAGGCTAAATGCAAAAGCCAACAGTTATGCTTGATTAATGCTTTCCATACCAAATCCCGTCATTCCTATATAGAAGGCAAAAAGTGTGACAGAGGAGAAGAAAATGCGAGTATAGATGCGATGCTACTTAAACGCCTGTGTGAGGAACATGCTGTAAAATCTGACAGAACTTAATACGTCACAGAGATAGAAGGGAATGTGTAGATAGAAAAGCACAGGGAAAAAAATTAAGAAAAGCATATGAACATAATCATCATTATAAGACAAACAAAACAGTAGCCTCCAAGCAGGAGAGATGTTAAAATATGTAATAAAAGGATATAGATGTGTTTTCGTGAATCACTAAAATAGAACTGCAGAAAGTCAGATCATAGCACATGTTTTGCTATGCTCTGGTGACAGAAAGGAGCTTTAAAGCTAACGTATCTGTCTGATATTGGATTCCAAGGTGGCATAATTTTGTATTTGTAATTTTTTGAAACATTTAGAATACAATTATTTCTCTGTAATCTTCATCTGTTTTGTTACCGGATATTCTACTTGTTTGAGTTTTAAAGGAGAGAATCTTTCATAGGTAGGGAATTAGAAAAATACAGGCCACATACAGTGATACTTGAATTTTAAATGCACTTTCACCTGTTGTGGAACTTGAATAAAAGTGGCTGATAATGTGGGGAAGAGTAAGAGGGCTGAATAATGCAAGAGACTGACAGTGTAAGTCTTCATATCAAGAGCTTGTTTTAGGCAACACTATATATATATATGCATGTATATAACTAATTTTCTGCTGACTTATTTCCTGGAGCCTTGTGGCTGGCCACTGGAGGTTGGGGGACAGAGCTATTGCAGTCACTATAACAGGTCCAATGAAACTTTACTGTTAGTTACAGGATGGCCACTAAAATGCAAATTAGACTTTCAATGCAAAAGGATGAAAATCTTTAGTAGGGTAAAGGGAAAAAGGAGGTATAGGAACCTCTTCAGAAAAACACAAGCCAGTTCCTGTTGGTGGAAACATTAACTGGTAATAGGTAACTGTTGAACAGCACTAAAATTGATCTACCCTTTTATGGGAACACAGGAAAGGACTTTGACCTGGTGGCTTTGGACATGGTTAGTTTCCCTCTCTGAGCTACTCTTTCTCCTTTTTCTTTCATCTTCCCTGTGTAGGCTGTTGGGAGAAGGGACTGTTTCCCACTGCTTCCACGTGCCCAGCATAATGTGTCTACCATCTTCTCAGGGCTCATTGATTCCTACCATTGTACAAATAGTAGCAGCTAATCATTGTGCTGATTCTCTTTCCAGGAGCTGTCTGTTCCCAGTGTCCATGACATAGGAGCATTGGTGGCATTTGGCTCGGGTGTTGTATACATTACACTTCAGTCTATAATCTCTTACAAGTCTTGTCCACAATGGAACACGTACTTTGTGTGTCACATAAGGATGGCCATATCTGTAATATCATGCATTGCTTTCATTCCCAGTATCCTTTATGGTGTATCCCATGGTTCTCCCTTTATGCATTCATGGTTTCCCTTTAAGCTAAACCATTGCTGATAAAGGATGAAAATGAGGTTACAATCTCTGCTTTGCTAATATTTCTGCTATAATAATGCGTATAGCATGTCAAGACATCATTAATAGCATAAAGATGAGTTTCAGGGTCTTTCTAAAATGCTAAATCTCTTCTTTCAGTGCTATTTGAATCTAATGACCCAGAGTTCTTCACAGGATCATATGATAATTCAGATAGGAAGGGACCTCAGCAAATCGGCTAGACCAACTTTCCAGTCTCCTTCATTTGAATGAGGGCATGGAGAAAGACCTGCCAAAGGACGTCTGCTTCTAAAATGAAACTAACACATGGACATATAAAATACAGTTGGCATACATAAAATTTCCTTCAAGCCTAAGCAGATGCTTTGCATGATGTTGATTGGTGCTTGTCTTCATTAGATGCTTCCTCTGGAGACAGTCAATAGGCTTACTGTTTTTTCCTGCAGCCTGCTGAAATCAGAGTGTTCCCATTGATTTTATTGGGCCTTAGGTGATCTGCCAGTGTTGAAAATTGGTGCAGCAGATCATCGCATCAACCAGCCAGCTACAGCCTACTTTTGGTTTCACAGCAGCAGCTGTGAAAGGGGTTTTCAAGAGAGCACCAGTCCTGAAAGAAAGTTGTGCAAATATATCAAGGCACCTACTGTGGACCGATGGAAACCAGCATGGTTCCCCTCCCAACAATGCAGGACTCTGCTTCTATAGTTCTCAGTCATGAGTGTGATCTAAGTTTTGGAGTGTCTCCCCTTAGCATCCAAACTGTTTTGGAAGAGCCCACAGAAACCTTCATTTTTACAGAAATGTGTTTTGATCACTGCTCTCAGTTACCTTTCAATAATGTATTTAATTTACTTGTCTTCTTAATACTTTGATTTGATATTCTGGTTGTTCAGGAACTCCTGTGTTACAGAAGGGGGAGATGGGGTCTTTTTTTGTAAGCAGATGTTTTCACTATTACTCACTAAACTTTTACAGTTTCCTTTACACTCTGTTTTTCCCAGTGATTGTGTTTGCTTTGCAAATTTCAATGACAAAAATTGATTGGACTCCAGATGAAAAGGTAAAATCTCATTAGGTAGCAAACTTACCCTGTATCATTTTATTTGGGGTACACTGTTATGTTTATCTAAAAATGTGTAGCATTATAAACACTTCAGAGACTTTAAATAGTACATTATCATGAACAGATTTGTGAAATCTCACCGATTTGTGCAATGCCAGTTTCCAGTTATTTCTTCATTAGAAAACTGTCTGTGTCTTGAGTAAGAAAACTTGTCACAGATGAGTAAATCTTCCAAGTTAGACTTTCATTTTAACCAAGCATTTACCCAAAGAATAAATTGGAAAAAAAAAATAATCTGGAAGTCAGTTGTTATGCTTCCTTTTATAGTCACATTTCTCGAAAATGAACTTCCCAGATGAAACAAAAGTGGACCAATTTGATTCAGAAGTTTTTGAGGTTTTTACAGCATTGGTTTTCTCAGATTTTTCACCATTCTTTCTTAAGTAATCTTTATTATTGTGGTAAACATTAGGGGACTGACCTGAAGTGTACTCAAGTCAATATCAGGCATTTGAACTGATTTGAGTGTTCTCAGAATGATAACTCGGTAAGGTAAATTTTATTTTTGGACAAACTTTGCCATATGGTGATATTCAAAAAAACAGGTTAAATAATGCAGAGAATGCATCCTGCTTGAAGTACTTAATAAAAGCAAAATTGGCAAATGTACTTCAAGCAAACAGTGGCAAGGCAACTGTGAGAAATCTTCACAAGTTAGATAATCTTAGTAATATCTACCTCTTGAGTTGTTTATTGTTTTTTTTTTTCCTTGAGATGCAAGAATGAGAAAATGTTTTAACTGAAACATTCAGTCTGTGTGATATTACATAGCTTTTCTGTGATGGTCTACTTAAAAACAAAGGTCTTGTCAGGAACCGACATGCAAGTGTAGCCCTCAGTTTTAAAACATTGTAAGAATTTGCTGTAAAGGATGAACTGAACTCAGTAGCTCTGAGTCAAAGTTTCAAATATGAGCACTTTGGTATTCTTCACTTAAGAACTAAATTTTTCAGGTGCAAATTAAATTCAAACTATGTTTTGATCTTGTGCTAATTGTAGGTTTTTTGTACTATTTTTTATGTTTGTGCACAAGACATGTTGCTTAGTGGAACATCTGCAACCTTGATAAGTATATGTACTACTCTGTAAGAACTAAATCTGAGTTGACTTGCAACAAGGTATTGGGATGATGAGTCATAAGTCTTAAAATATTTGTTGAATTTACAGAAGGAAATGTCCAATTTTATAGCATGCCACAGTTATTTTGTTTAGCTGTTTTATCTGAAAAAATATTTTATGTCTTATTCCATCAGGATTATACTTACCATTTGATGAGTGCGATCTGTGAATGGACAGTAGCCTTTGGTTTTATCTTCTTCTTTTTAACGTTCATTAGAGATTTTCAGGTTGGTATCTACATATTTTAGCAGTGACTAAGAGGTGCTATGAAGTGCATAACAAGAAATGAAATAGAAAATTACCATTCTTTATCTCAGAGAGATATACTAAAGCTATACAGAAACAAATTTTATCAGTCACAGAACTGATTTCTGTCTACCTAATTAATGTTTTTCCCCTAGGTTTTAAAACATAAAAATCAGTTTTATAAATAAGTTTAGTAGTTTGATAGGTGCCTGGTCTTGAAAATCAGTCAGTAAATTAATCTCTTTTATTTATTTACCAAACTTTTTGTAGAAAGAGGCCCTCTAAAGGTGACATAATACCAAAATGAATGATACAACTAAAACTGCATTTCTTTCTACTTGACAGGTTTTGTATGATAATCTGATGCATTTCAACTATAGGTGTTTCCTTTAAAAAAAAAATACACATTTTGATATATGTTCCCTCACAATGTGAAGAGTATGAAATACTTCTTGAAAAGTATTGACATGAAGACCTTCTGGTTTGGGTAGCTGGATCTGGAGATGCATCAAGCTTGACTTTAAGAAAGAGAGAATATTAGATTAGTTATAAAGAAAACTTTTACATGGTTTGTGAAAGGTATGCCTTGAATTTTCCCAAGCTTTGCCTCACCAGCATGCCAGCATGTTTTAGCTGCAGTGTTTCGTGGAGTTTTTGTTTGGTACAGGGATACAAAATGCTGGAAATACCAATGCGTGAGGCTTAACATTGGGAAAAGAACTTGTAAAAAAATTTTAAAAAATACTGCTCGTGGTAAGTGCTTTGTGGAGATTTGAGAACAAAACCTGGATATTACCATACATGTCAGGAGGATCATGGCCTCCTTGTCCTTCTCAGACTTCTGGAGATTTGTTTTCCCCATAAAGCAGTTGGATCTTTGCAAGACTGGAGTAGAGAGCTTAGGTTAGAAAAGACTGCAAACTGCTGCTTCATACTGTAATTACAAAGATGAACTAACTCAATTGTAATATAGATGTCATACCCAATACATAGATCTTTCATATATACCACTGCCTCACAGAAGTCCCAGAAAGCTGAAACCAGATCCAAGCACTCGCATAGCTGTAGAACTAATAATTGAGATCACATATGTGAGCCAATTGGTGCTGTGATAAATTGCTGGAAACCATATCCAGAATTTGTAGAGGTGGGGAAGGAGGAAAAATAGTGACAGCCCTCTAAATCCTCTGGTATAAAACCAAAGTTTGACATAAGATCATGTAAAACTTTCTAATTAATTTACTTGCTTCTTCACTTACGTGCTTGCTCAGCATGGAAGTGTTTAATACTTACACCTAATCTGTGTATAACTTTCATGAGCATATATAGAAATCCATTTTCCACTAAGGATTTGGAGTTAACATAAATGTTGCTAGCCAATAGCAAATATTTCTACACCTGTTTACTTTTGACTGATAGACCATGGCTGTAGGGCTTTCCTTTATTAAAAAAAAAAAAAAAAAAAAAGGCAAAAGGCTATGTTCTGCAGAACAAAATGCTTTTTTATAAGAAAAGGTAATTGTTCAAAATTATGAATTCATTATCTTAAAGATGTAATTGCCTTCTAAAACTGACAAAAGTATTGCAATACCATTCAGAAATGCATGCATTATTAAATTTACCATTTTTGGGAGGAGGTATTTATTGCCAGTCCATCATTCTCTGATGCCTACATATACGATGATATCTGTTTTATCAAAAGTCATTACTCTCCCTTTGGAGATACATACTTACAGACAATGCTGTAGTCCTCAGAGTAGCTACATGAGTTGATAAGTCTGCTCCAAGCCACAGATCCCAAAGGGTTCAACAGTGAAAGTTTAACTATATATAAATATTGTGAACATAATAAATAAGAGAAAGTGATGGAATTAAACTAATTAGAAATGCAGACATTTAAGTTTACAGGCTACAAAACAGCATGAAATCCAATGTTAGTGTTTGACAATGAGAAAGATTTTTAGATTCTATCCCCCTTTCACCCTAATCAGTGCTCACAGAAAGCCAAACTATTAATACAGAAAAACGAACCACCAAACTAAGAAAAATAAGCCTGATTTTTCCTTATTTCTCACAGTTTGTATTTCACTTCAATATTTTTTTTGTTTTAGCTCCATGTACTGTATAACACAGAACTGTAAAATTAATTTATCTTAAGCTGATCTTGTTTTATTTTTCTTTTAGAGAGTTTCTTTAAGGATATCAACAGAAATACATGAAGACTCCTGATAGTGGAGAAAATTATATTTTTATATATACGAATACTCTAGGTTTCTTTTCACTTACAGAAAATGTTGCAGAAGAACAGGTATTTTTGAAGTTGTATAAAGTGGTATAGAAGAACCCATCCCATTAACTCCGCAAGATCTATAATGGCAACCACTAAAGCATTTAAAAAGTTCATTCTTGACACTTTTTTGCAATATTTTGTAATTTTTATACTGTTTGATGTATTAAAAATACTGTAATAGAAGCAATCTGTGGATGCATTTGAGTCGTTCAAAGACTCTTGATCTTCTCAGCTCTTCGCTTTTGGACATATCTGGATTTCTTAATTTGTTATAGTCCTATTAGTACCATTAATTTTAAACTTGAGAAAGTATATTTTACAAATAGTTAGAAAAGTTTAAAGACAATGGAAAACACTAAGGCTGAATTCCTACTCTGTTAAGTTGCAAGGACTGTGGAGGAAGGTGTGAGCCGAAGTGGGCATCTTCATTTTAAGACTAGAAATTTGCAGTTAGTAGATTGCAACACTATGCTACATGTTTCTGGCAGTAGACACGGTATACAAATACAAATCCTAGGAGAAGTTTAAACTGTATTGCTTGAGAAATGTTTTCTAATCATCACTGCAATGTATGTTGTAAAAGTCTACCCCTTTACCCCTTTATGCACTGCTGGCCTTAGGAAGCTTAAAACTGAAATGGAAATAGAAAGTAAATTTACACTCATGCATGATCTGTTAAAGAAAAATCTTACTGCAATTTGGTGGATAAAAAGCAAAAAATTTCCAGCCTGTGTTTTAGCCTGCAATGATGGAATGAAGAGGGCCTCCAAAAAGTCACTGGGAGTGAATGGAAAAGAAGAGGCACCAGCAGTTCTCAGGTGTTCAGTTATATATTTATAAGTATTATATATATATAAAACTGAAGAATCCTGCAAAGCTTCTGTAGAGAAGATATGGCATATTTGCTGCTATAACTTACTTCTGTAATTGAAAGACTTGGAAAGGAAGTAATTGGGAAGTCACATGTTTCAAGTATCTGGAAGCAAAAGGGTCTTTCGTCAACTAATTCACTACCTCCATTTAGTGCATTAATCACTTGGCTAACAAACAAGTTCTCTGAAAATTACATTTGCCATGGTCTATCACAGTTTACACAGAAATATTGATGATTTTCAGTTGCTAATTTTCCATGAGGTAAAACAAATATGTGTGTTGGAGAGTGACTAGTCGTCTGTTGATATTTCTTTTAATGTGTATTTTAAACTGTATTAAATTCATCTGTTTCACAACTTACAGGGTCCATGTTTTCTTTGTAAGTTCTTACAAATAATAATAATAAAAATCTTTTTCACTGGCAGATTTACTTTCCACAGTATTCAGGTTATCTTGCAGAGGTTTGTAGTTACAATCATGTTAAAAACTGAATCTAGTACTGACTAAACGCAAGACTTATGTCTTGCTGACTAGGTGTCCTGCAAGGGGCACACAGTCCTTCAACTGAAGATCAGAAACGCTCACAAGAAAATGTATACCGACCACAAAAAGTGACATCCTGTTATTTTTAAGGCTATGTTATGAAAATACCATATTTCTTAGTGCACTATGTATTGTTCTTTTCTGGCTTTTTATTCCTAGCTTTCTTAAACTAAAGTATAAGGAGGTTAAAGTTGTTATTTCAAATTATATCAGATTTCAACTCATTAATTAACTAAACCCTTTACATGCATAAAAGTAATTACATTAACTTGAAGTTCAGCCTTTAATATTAGTGTGTTTTTACAGTGAATGCAAGTACACTTAAACAGGAAAAGGATTATTTGTATTGTCATGATTTAGGCTGGAAATCACCACAATAAATTCCACAAGCTTCAAGGTGAGAGAACACTAAGAAGACATTAAACCATCATCTCAATACAAGGCTCCTGAAACAAGTTTGCACTTATAATCTTGGTACTCTCTCCTCCTCAGAAGAATCATATCCAGGAGCCTGTCGACCTTTGTAGTGCTTACAGTCTCCTAAAGAGAAAAAAAAAAAAGTATTTTTTCAGAGAAAGTGGCTGAATTAAGATAATCTTGTTTGCTGAAATTAACATGTTAATTCAAGTTAATTCAACTACTGAATGAAATCCTTCCCATTTTTCTGAGCTTCATCATGATATATTTTTGTATGAGTTACATTGATGATCAAAAGAATGCGTCACCAACAGTTTGCTTATTATTTAATTTTTTAGACCAAAAACATGAGCATATATCTACATGCAGATGGAGACAATGGATTATTACCTTTTCATTTGTGCAGTGAACAACTATTGAAAACACTTTGATTATTCTCTGGCTCCAGGCAGCTTTTCAGTCAAGATCCTAACTATTTTTTCGGTTGAAATATGAGTTGACATGTTGCAAACAACTGAAAAATATTTTCTTCTACCAAGTTGTACCATTTTAGCTGTGGATGATTCTTGTTAAATCATGCTACTTAATTTTTTACAATCAAATGTTCTCTACAGGTTAGTACAGATGATGTCACAGTACACTTCTGTTCTTTGCAACAGACCCTTTTTTCTGTCTTTTTACATTTCTTAGCAACAAGAATAGCTATTTTTTTCCTTGGGAGCTATGCTAGAAATATTTTTACCATCTATTCTGTTTGCGTGATGTTTTCTATTTGTCAGCCCATCGTGAGTGATTGAGAAACTTCTTTTGCATAAACTACAGCAAATCACATGACAGTTATTGTTATTTTTAGTGATTATGCTAAATCATTTCTCTACCCCTTCCAAAAGTGCAAAGCCTTATTTTTCTGGGTTATGCGGCTTGATCTACTGATGAAATGCTATCATTGCAGTCTCTACCGCAGTTTCAAATCACGTAAGGATGAACCTCAATCAACTCAAAATACCTAAAGCCCACTTTGTCTTAGGACACTGTTACTCTCTCTCCTCTTCTCTCCCATGTGTGCTCGGCCAGTGATCATATATTGCACCTTTGTTTTTTCTCATAAGATATTCTAAATTTTTATTTCTGATCTGCTGTTTGCATACTGCCTTATCTCTGACAGCAGCACATGTTTGATAGTAGTAGAATGATCTTGACAGCAAGGGCTTTGTTATTTGGTGGTAATACTGGTTGCAAAAGTTTCAAGCAGACCAGAGGGAGTGTGGTAATGTATGTCAGTAAGTCTTGGGCATTTCAGCAGACAATTCAAGAGCTTGGTATTTTAAACTGCTGTGTAAATATAGAGTCGTCATCTCAATATTGACACCATGCCCACAAGCCTTCAGGTTTCGGAGGGTCTGCTTGAAGACATCAGAGTGTTTGGGGTTGGTGAGCTGATCCTAGCGGTTTACAATGTCCAGTACAAATATTCTCTCTGGAAGAGTCTGGAACAGTTGAAAGAGCTGTTCTCCTCCAAGAAATGGTGAAAGGCAGCATGGTACTTGGTTTGTAAGAAGAGGTAATGTTAATTTCCTTGGAAAATGAGCTAATGTCCCTTCATTTCAGAGAAATTTGACATAACACAAGGAAGTTGCAATAGGTTTTTTATAAGATTTATGTAGCTTTGACAAAAACTATCACACATGGGTCTGTCTTTCACTGTATTGAGTGTGTGTGCCCATGTGGACCCATACATGCATGCATCAACAGTATCGGCATGATGAAGCCTGACAGGGGTTAGGGTCCTCCATGTTGCTGTACTACACAGGAATTATAATAATTGTAATATTTTATAAAAAAAAAGAAGTAATTTTATGAGCTTTGGCTCTGTTTTCTAATTGTTACTGTAATGCAGAAAGGGTATTTCTCACATTTTTAAAGAGAAAATAGGCACCTTCTGCATTTGGTGTCTGTATTTTTCCCCATACGCAATAGATGGCACTAGTAGACCACAATATCAGGGTTTATTTTCCACTTTCAGGCTAGCAGGCAGCAAGCACGATAGTTTGTAGGTAGCTTTAACTGTTTTTAATAGTCATCTGGAGACCCAGTTAAATTATTTTTTTATTACGCCTTTGTGGAAAACAAGACAGATCTAAGTTTCCTTGCCATCCCTTCCTGCCTTAATCTAAGTAAATTTTGCTGCTGCAACATGTAGTTTCATAGCAACTTCAATATTCAGATTAACTTGTCTAAATCAAAGGAGCCACTTGCTGTAGTTAGCACTGGCGCAAGCGGCAATTCAGCTGTCATTAAGCCACTTCCCTTGGGAAGTGTTTCCTACTCTATTAAAAAGAAGAAACATTTTACTCCATAGCTTCAACAGACTTCTGTCAGTTTGCAATGGAGCATCAGAAGACAATATAGACCTTATTTTCACGAGACAAAAATATAAAAATAAGTTTTTAACATTTCCAAATTGTAGCCATTCTGCACCCAGAAACAGTGACATGTCAGACTGTAAAAAAAATTCAAAGGCAGCTGCTGCAGCTATTTAAAATCCACTTTTGTTTACATATAATAAGTCTGTTTTCAGTTATTTCCTTGCCTAACTAAACACTTGGATAGCACTTTTTGCATGTCTTGTGTGAAGTGTAGCAATAATCCAGGCCTCTGAAAATCCATTGTCTTACCTGGAATTACACAAATTCAGCTTTCTCAGTCTTAAATAATCCACACTGCTCATAGATATTCTTCTAAAAACTCTTGTCAAATGTTGCATGGATTTTTTTTTAAATAAATATAGAAAGCGCTTTAACAAAGTATCAGTACTTTGTTATCGATACACATCTTCAACACGGTAGAACCTTCTTACTCCACAACGTGATTTCTCTGCCAACGCACACTCACCAAATTCATTGTAAGCAGAAGGTACACTTCAAAGAAGGTTTCTCTGATGAACATCCAGATTTTCGTAATGAGATCTGCAGGAACAGTCTCTCTGTAGCCCCACTTTCATTAGAGATATTAGCAGCTGACGAATCTCCCTGCATAGAGGTGTCTTCCCTTCCTCTTAACACTGCATCATGTAGTTGAAACACAGTAGATAGTTTGCATGGACTTTTTTTTGTCTTTTGGTTTGAATTATTCAAGAGTATTTTGCTGTGGTGATGGGAAGAG